GAAAGTTTTTTTTTTTATTCTTTATTCATTTATTTCCATGATATGTTTGTATTGATTTGATACCATCCATCTTTTTTAACCCAATTTTTACTTTTTTATTTATTTATTTAATTTTGATCTCAATCTGGTAGGTTTATAAGCCATTTATTTGATCACTAATTGAGACATTATAAATCCCTATATTTATATTCTTGGGTGTGCCCACACATACCTGTTTTTATATAATTATTCCTAAGTGGAGCCTTTTTACTATAAGTGTCTTCCATTTTGCTTTGAGGTGATTGTAGCCGTATTAGTGCATTTGCGACTGTCCTCAAAATTGTATGTTGGTGCAAATAAAAAAAAGTATCACGGACAGTACTCAATTGTTTGTGTACTATAAGTGTGGAATTCCGTATATAATGTCACATAATTAATATTTATTACAGGGAACTCATTTTCCATGTACTATATTCTGTATATTTTTAGCAAGGTACCCCCTCTCTTATTTAATTGTTGTTTAAAGTTGTTGTACAGGTGGGATGTGCCGTCCGCTCCGTCCTTGGAGCCTCCCCCTACACTCCTTAGGGGCGGCCCTTGTTCAGCTGGTCTTTTATAAAATGGCCGCTTACCACTCTATTCCAGGACTTGATAAAGCGCATGCGCACTAAACATGTCCTGGTAACTGGCCTTCCACTTCAGCTTGCAGCCCTACATTGGTCTTCCCCTCCTGGATATCGCGGTGACGTCATCCCGGGACACGTGGTCCCTACATTTGACAGGTGCATCTCATCTCACCACCACACTTCCTTCTGAGCGGACGGGCCGTCCATCCTGACCCAGGCATCCCCTTCAAGCCACAGGCTTGTGCTTTTATGTGTACTCACAGTTTCTCTTAATAAAAGGTACACCCCCCTAGTGGGGTTTTTGCATTACTACATCCACTACAGCGCTGTGTTCTTCTCTGGAGTTATAGGAGGAGTTCTTATTCTGCTTTGACTGTCCTATGAGGTTGCATAACCGCTGACCCTCTGTCTGGACAGTGATGATTGGCCCTGTGCTGATCACATGCACCCTCCTAAAGAAAAAAAAAAAAAAACTCTCTAGCAATACACACCAAACTGAGCATGTGCAGAGGGACTCCTAGAGCTCTGTATTTTCACCAGATGTATTGGGGACAGTAAAAGAAGGGGAGGATCAGAGAAGACAGAATCAGCCTTTTTATACAATGCGGAAGATTAACCCCGTAGGTTCCACAGCGAGTATAACCAGTATGCTTTACTATATATACACAGACTGATTTTACTGTTGATGGTTTAGTAACACTTTAAATAGAAGTTGTCTGAAAAAGTGAAGCACACTAAAGATCTCAAAAAAACAACACATCATGCCACAATCTAAACAAATTCAAGAACAGATGAGAAACAAAGTAACTGACATGTATCAGTCTGAAAAGGGTTACTAAGCCATTGCTAAGACTTTGGGACTCCAACGAACCACTGTGAGAGCCATTATCCATAAATGGAGAAAACTTAGAATGGTGGTGAACCTTCCCAGGAGCGGCTGGCCTACCAAAATTACTCCAAGAGCACAATGATGACTCATCCAGGAGGTCATAAAAAAACCCAGAACAACATCTAAAGAACTGCAGGCCTCACTTGCCTCAGTTAAGGTCAGTGTTCATGATTCAACAACAGGAAAGACTAGGCAACAATGACCTCCATGGGAGAGTTCCAAGGTGAAAGCCACTGCTGACCATAAAGAATGCTAAGGCTCCTCTCTAATTGCCAAAAAACATCTTGATTATCCCCAAAGACTGTTGGGTATATATTTTGTGGACTGATGAGGCAAAAGTTGAACTTTTTGGAAGGTGTGCATCCTGTTACGTCTGGTGTAAAACTAACACAGCATTTCACAAAAAGTACATCACACCCAACAATCAAACATGGTGGTAGTGTGATGGTCTGGGGCTGCTTTACAGCTTCAGGACCTGGACGACTTGCCATAATTGATGGAACCATAAATTCTGCACTCTACGAGAAAATCCTGAAGGAGAATGTCCAGACATCAGTTCCTGACCTCAAGCTCAAGCGCACTTGGTTATGCAGTATGACAATGATCACAAACACACCAGCAAGTCCGCCTGTGAATGGCTCAAAAAAAAAAAAACGAAATTAAGGTTTTGGAGTGACCTAGTCGAAGTCTGGACTTAAATCCAAACGTGATGCGGTGAACATGCTGGGAAACCCTCCAATGTGGCTTAATTAAAACAATTCTGCAAAGAAGAGGGGGCCAAAATTCCTCCACAGCGATGTGAAAGACTCATTGCAGTTATCACAAACGCTTCATTGCAGTTGTTGCCGCCAAGGGTGGCACAACCGACGTATTGGCTCCTCCTTACGCATTTCGTGCGCACGCACGTCTTCAGAGGGGATGCCAATACCACCATGACGCCTTGCCGTCTAAATATATAGGCAAAATGACGCATGCGTATTACACACCGGCGCCATTTTGTTGACGATGGAAAGTATACAACAGATGTGTGCGTGCATCCGCGGCGCCATTTTGCCATGAAATTCTAAAGAATAGGTAAAGTATCTCATTAGGATCGTGCAGTCTATTATTAAGACCAGGAGTTTCTGATGCACCACCACTGTCTAGAGGGAGGATTATCCTAGGCCTGGCTCATATCCAATTCCTAAAGGGGACCTCCACTGATTGATTTAATGCATATTACCATAACGCATCTGGTGAGTGCGTATTCTTACCCCACTATTCTGGAGCACCAGCACCGAAGTATCATTGCCATTCACCATACACCTGCACAGATTGTCACTTTACATTACATTATTACATTACATTACATTGAGTTTATATAGCGCCAAAGGGTTTGCTCAGCGCTGTACAATAGAGGGGGGGGGGGGGGATACATGAAACATTACAGCAACTACAAACAGCACACGAGGGGTTATAGGGCCCTACTCTTTCGAGCTTACAATCTAGGAGGGAGGGGGTAGTGGTACAGGAGGAAGTGGCTGTGGGGGATGGAGTGGTAGGAGGAATGAAGGAGAGCAGCAGTTAGGTGAGGGTGGGGGTAGGCTTCCCTGAAGAGGTGGGTTTTCAGGGAGCGCCTGAAGGTGAGGAGGGAAGGTGACAGTCTGATGGATTGGGGTAGTGAGTTCCAGAGGATGGGGGAGGACCTGGAGAAGTCTTGCAGACGTGCGTGTGAGGAGGAGACCAGGGAGCAAGATAGAAGGAGGTCCTGTGAAGAGCGAAGGGTACGGGTAGGGTGGTACTTGGGAATCAGGTCGGTGAGGTAGTTAGGGGCAGTGTTGTGAATGGCTGTGTAGGTCAGAGTGAGTAGTTTGAATTTGATGCGTTGGGCGATAGGGAGCCAGTGGAGGGATAGGCAGAGGGGGTGGCAGAGGTGGAGCGGGTGGTGAGGTGGATGAGTCTAGCCGCTGAGTTGAGGATGGTCTGAAGCGGGGAGAGCCTGCACTGGGGTAGGCCGGTGAGAAGGGAGTTGCAGTAGTCAAGGCGTGAGATAATCAGGGAGTGTACAAGTAGTTTAGCGGTGTCTGGGGTAAGGAAGGTGCGTATTTTGGCGATATTGCGGAGGTGGAGTCTGCATGTGTTTGTAAGTGATTTGACATGAGGTTGGAAGGAGAGGTTAGAGTCCAGAATGACTCCAAGGACTTTGGCTTGCGGGGCGGGATTGATGGTGGTGATGTTAGTAGTGATGATGATAGGATGGGGGGGGGGGGGGGGGGGGGGGGGGTGCGTGGGCAGGAGAGAAGACGAGAAGCTCGGTTTTGGAGAGGTTAAGCTTGAGGAAATGGAGCGACATCCAGTCAGAGATGTCGTTTAGGAGGTGAGTGATGCGGGTGGAGAAAGTGGAGGTGAGGTGAGGGGTGGAGAGGTAAATTTGAGTGTCATCAGCGTAGAGGTGGTAGTTGAAGCCGTGGGAGTGTATGAGTTTGCCAAGGACTAATACCGTTTAGCTGGGCATTCATTTAATATAATTTTATTTATCTTATGTGGACTATTTCTCATGATATATCGATTTAATTTTAAGCGCTGCACTTTCGTATGACTATTATTGAGGTTTTTTATTATTGGTTACCTTTTAGTGCTACAGCTGCTACTTAGAGAGCGCTCACTTTCCCTTTTACTATACTACTATCATTTAAAAACTGCATTTTGTATTTACTTGGGTTATCTTTGTGTAATATTAAAATTTGTTTGATGATCTGAATCAATTAAATGTGACAAATATGCCCAAAAAATAAAAATCAGGGAGGGGGAAAATACTTTTTCACAGCACTGTAAATTTGGCGGCGCACAGTCAACTCTTGCACTTTTCTCATCTAGGCAGGAATGACCGCCTCACCCTCCCCACTGTCTGAAGTCTGCTAAGAGACCCAACACTGTAGGGGGACACCTGATGTATGGGGATATCCTGATGTATGGGGACACTGATGTAGGGGGACACCTGAAGGATGGGGACACTGATGGGGGGGGGGGGGGGGGGGGGGGGGGGGGGGGGGGGGGGGGGACACCCTGATGTATGGGAACACCTGATTTAAGAGAACACTGATGTAGGGAGACACCTAATACATGGGGACACTAATGTAGGGGGACACTGATGTATGGGGACACCTGATGTAGGGGAACACCTGATGTAGGGGAACACCTGATGTAGGGGAACACCCTGATGGATGGGGACACTGATGTATGGGCACACCTGAAAGTATGGGACACTGATGGATGAGGACACTGATGTAGGGGGACACCTGATGTATGCAGTCTCTGACCATCCCTTGTATCGTGTCCGCAGTCTCTGACCATCTCCTCTATCATGTCCGCAGTCTCTCTGACCATCTCCTGACTTATCCTCTATCCGCAGTCTCTGACCATCTCCTCTATCATGTCCGCAGTCTCTGACCATCTCCTCTATCATGTCCGCAGTCTCTGACCATCTCCTCTATCATGTCCGCAGTCTCTGACCATCTCCTGTATCATGTCCGCAGTCTCTCCTGACCATCTCCTGTATCATGTCCGCAGTCTCTGACCATCTCCTGTATCATGTCCGCAGTCTCTGACCATCTCCTGTATCATGTCCGCAGTCTCTGACCATCTCCTGTATCATGTCCGCAGTCTCTGACCATCTCCTGTATCATGTCCGCAGTCTCTGACCATCTCTCTGTATCATGTCCGCAGTCTCTGACCATCTCCTGTATCATGTCCGCAGTCTCTGACCCATCTCCTGTATCATGTCCCGCTCGCAGTCTCTGACCATCTCCTGTATCATGTCCGCAGTCTCTGACCATCTCCTGTATCATGTCCGCAGTCTCTGACCATCTCCTGTATCATGTCCGCATCAGTCTCTGACCATCCCTGTATCATGTCAAAGTCTCTGACCATCTCTGTAATCATGTCCGCAGTCTCTGACCATCTCCTGTATCATGTCCGCAGTCTCTGACCATCTCCTGTATTCATGTCCCGCAATGTCTCTGACCATTCCTGTATCATGTCCGCAGTCTCTGACCATACTCCTGTATCATGTCCGCAGTCTCTGACCGGTATCTCCTGTATCATGTCCGCACAGTCTCTGACCATCATCCTGTATCATGTCCGCAGTCTCTGACCATATCTCCTGTATCATGTCCGCAGTCTCCTGACCATCTCCTGTATCATGTCTGCAGTCTCTGACCATCTCCTGTATCATGTCTGCAGTCTCTGACCATCTCCTGTATCATGTCTGCAGTCTCTGACCATCCACCTGTAGTATTTCTGCATTGGCTTTTGACTTAGCGTTGGGGTCAGGTGCAAAGTTTTTGGCCAATCATTTGAAACCTCTACTAGGACCCAAATTGAGGCAAATGCCAAACCTAAACTCTTAAGTTCCTTTTCACACAGGAATGGATAGCTACTGGAGCCTATAGTTGTCTATCCCCGGGGTGGTGCGATGTGTGTGCTATTCTCCTTCCCTCTTTTTGTTTTGATCAAACTTCTTGTGTACAAAATGTGGACTTCAATCTATGGCAATACACAGCAGCATGAGAGAGGTTGGTGTTGGGGAATAGTAAAACGGTATTAAATCCAAAACCAAAAATGTCACACATTGCAGCTTTACCAATCATGAGATGTGTGGTAGCTGCATTAGTTTTCTTTTTTTAGGCTATTCCACCTGTTTTCACTTGGTGATGTGGCCAGTAACAAAATGCTTGTATTAGAGCACCCCCACTCTTGGAGGAAGGAGCACAGTAGGAACACCTTTGAACAGCAACACATTTAGTCTAGGAGGAGAGGGTAGTGTTTGATGGGACTACTAGAGATTTAGATACACTAACAAATTGAAGCCAAACTCACACTTTATTAGCAGTTACAGTTAAAAAAAATCATTTTGAGATAAGTGTTACATAAATAAATAAAAGCTGATCATTGTGAGCACCCTGTCAGTTGGAAATGCTTTGTCTTATCCTTCTAAATGCTACATCTGCAGGACAGCTTGTCCTGTTGAAAAACAATAGATTTACTGTTTGGATCACCAGATGAAAAAAAAAAATAAAGAAAGCCTAAAAAAAAGAAAAGGAATGCAGGAATGCCATCACATCACAATAATGATTGATAAGCTGCAATATATTCAACGTTATGCTTTTGGATTTAACCAGTTCCTCTGCCCTGCTGTCATTTCTCTGTAGGCCTGGATGGGGACTGGTTAAACCCAAAAGCAAGCATTCAGGGTGGAGGTCATATGATTTCCTTCAGAACGTGCTTCACGGGCCGCTACAGTGCGATCTGTCACCCTTTGTGTCCACCGGACACAGTGTATGACTGATCAATGTACCAGCTGATGCTAGTAGTACCATGTGATCGCTATGATGACCAATCACAGCTAATCACATGACAACTATACACAATCCATAGCATTCATTCATGCCATTCATTGTGTACTATTTTGTTGATCTCTGTGATTGGGTACAGTGATCACATGATACAGACAGCACCAATCACAGCTAACCACAAAAGCAAACACCGAATGGATCAATTTCATTCAGTAATAATGGTTGCTTATAACAGTGAAATTTAGTGGTATAAGCAACCATACTGTTAAAAAAAATTCTCATCACTTCCACAGAGTAGTACAATGTTCTCTATGGTAACACGGACTGCTCTGGTCACAGTATGTTAAAAATAAAAATCATTAAATGGAAAAAATATATATATTTTTTTACATCCTGTCACCAGTCAGTATTCCTGATCACCACCACCCAAAGTAATACAATGATGCTGTGCTGCACCTCCACTGTGACAGTATGTTACAACAAAAAAAAAAAAGCTGTGAAAAAAGCAGTTTATAAAAATGTATATATTTTCCAAAAAATTGTGACAAAAAAATAATTTAAAAAAAAAACTTGCCAAAACGGTCTACTTTTCTAAAAAGGGGTTATTTTTGGGGGTCTCTGTACTGTCCTGGTGTTTTTGGGCTTCAAGAAATGTGATCAGCCCCGTCAGTATTTCAGGATCGATCGATCTTTCAGATAGATATCCCGTAGTTTGGGACCTTTGTAGCTTTCCTACAGACTAAATAATATACACTGATCTGGGTTATTTTCACCAAAGAAATGTAGCAGAATACATTGTGGCCTCAATTGATGGAGAAAGAGTATTTATTTGCAAAATTTTATAATAGAAATGAAGAAAAAACACTTTCTAAAAACAAATTTTCAGTTTTTTCTCATTTGTTTAGCAAACAATAAAACCCTCATTGGTGATTAAATTACCACCAAAGAAATCTCTATTTGTGCGGAAAAAAATTATACCAATGTCATCTGGGTGCAGTGTTTGCATGACCGCGCCATTTGTGATTCAAAGTGTGACAGCGGTGAGAGCTGAAAATTGGGCAGGAGGGGGGGTGGAAGTGGCCGGTATTGAAATGGTTAATGCGGCTATAATGGAAGGGGGGGTGGGGGGGGGGGGGGGGAGAGAATTCCATTAGTTCTGTACAAATGAGGAGTCAGGGATTTACAGGGATCGGGAGGACTGAAGGGGGGAGTATAGGGTAGGAGGTGGGGGGGCACTGAGTATGGGTGGAGGAAAGGGGGTTAATAGTGTGGGGGAGTTTGGGGGAGTATCCTAGCAACCAATGAACTGCATTCAGAGGAAGAGGAGGATGGAACTTCCTGCACCGCCTTCTATTGCTCCACCTACCAGCTTCTGCGATCGCCTGCTGAGATCAGAACTGTCCATCCACCTACTACACCCGGGAGGTCTGAGGGGGGACCCGCCGGGTGGAGAGCAGGGGAGGGGAGGGGTAAAGCCCCCCCCTCACTACTGTATTGTTTACATTATGCCCCAATCCCACTGAAGGCCTCATTCAGGCCTACTTCCCCCTTCATTCTCTGTGGCACTGTGGCAGGCAGAAATGTTGTCAAGGGATACTGATCCCTACATTCTGTCATGATTAAGAAGTACCGATCCCTACATTCTGTCTTCACTGATAAGTACCGATCCCTACATTCTGTCATCAATGATAAGTACCGATCCCTACATTCTGTCATCACCGATCCCTGTTAAGTACCGTGTGTGTGACGGAGGTGTAGGCGGGACAGAACACACACGGAGAATGATAGACGCACAAGGGTTTTATTGAAGGATATGAGACACTTGATCAGGGTAACAAGGGTAATGTCCGGGCACACAATAGGGGGGAGTCCAGGCAAAGATAATCCAGGCACACAGAAGAGCCAGTGGGGCAAAGTGAGTCTGGGCACACAACGGGGCAGTTCAGGCAACAATAATCCGGGCACACAATGGGGACAGTTCAGGGCACTCCACAACATGCGGCTTCCAGGAACACTCACGGCAGGTGGCTTCCAGGAACACTCAGCAGCAGACAACGTGCAGGGACACTCAGCAACGGACAGCTTCCAGGGACACTCAGCAACGGACAGCTTCCAGGGACACTCAGCAACGGACAGCTTCCAGGGACACTCAGCAACGGACAGCTTCCAGGGACACTCAGTAGCAGGCAGTGTGCAGGGACACTCACAGCGATCAGCTTCCAGGGACACTCAGCAGGCAGTGTGCAGGGACACTCAGCAGGCAGTGTGCAGGGACACTCAGCAGGCAGTGTGTGCAGGGACTGATAAGTACAAATCCTTACATTCTGTCTTCACTGATAAGTGCCGATCCCTACATTCTTTCATCACTGATAAGTACTGATCCCTACATTCTGTCATGACTGATAAGTACCGATCCCTACATTCTATCATCACTGATAAGTACCGATCCCCTACATTCGGTCATTATTATTATACAGGATTTATATAGCGCCAAAATACAATACAGCAACAATACAGTTCAATACAAGAGGGTGAGGAGGGCCCTGCTCCTTGGAGCTTACAATCTAAGAGGGAGGGGCTGGTGGTACAAAAGGTAATAACTGCGTGGGATGGACTGGTAGGAGGAGTAGAAGATTCCATTATTAGCAAAAGGCAGGATAGGCTTCCCTGAAGAGATAGGTTTTCAGAGATCGCCTAAAAGTGAGCAGAGTAGGCAATAGTCGGATAAATTGGGGTAGAGAGTTCCAGAGGATGGGGGAAGCTCTGGAGAAGTCCTGGAGACGAGCATGGGAGGAGGAGACAAGAGAGCTAGAGAGCAGGAGGTCGTACAAGGAGCAGAGAGTACGGTTTGGGTGATATTTGGAGACAAGATTGGTGATGTAATTTGGGGCAGAGTTGTGTATGGATTTATGTGTTATTGTTAATGTTTTGAATTTTATTCATTGGGCAATGGGAAGCCAGTGGAGGGATTGGCAGAGGGAAGGCAGATATGGAACGGTTAGTAAAGTGGATGAGTCTGGCAGCAGCATTCATGATAGACTGAAGAGGAAATTAGCCTGTGATGAAGTCGGCCAATGAGGAGGGTGTTACAATAGTCAAGGTGGAGATAACAAGGGAGTGAAGTTACTTAGTAGTTTCCAAGGTTAAGAATGAGCGTATCTTGGAGATGTTGCTGAGGTGAAGTCTACAAGATTTGGACAGTGATTGGATTTGGGGGTCAAAGGACAGATGGGAGTCTAGGATTACACCTAGTACCCTGGCATGAGGGGAGGGACTGATGGTTGTGTTATTAATCTTGATGGGGAAGTCAGGGGAAGGGGCACGGGCTGGAGGGAGTAGTATGAGCTCAGTTTTGGAAAGATTTAGTTTGAGGTAGTGGAGTGACATCCATGCTGATATGTCAGTAATGCGAGAGGAGACTGACGGGGTGAGGTGAGGGGTACAAAGATAGATTTGTGTGTCATCAGCATAGAGATGGTACTTGAAGCCATGGGAAGTTTATCAAGTGACCAAGGGAGGAGGTGTAGATGGAGAAGAGTAGGGGTCCAAGGACAGAACCTTGAGGGACCCCTACAGAAAGAGGGAGTGGAGAGGAGGAGCCAGAGCTATAGGTAATGCTGAACCAGGAGAGAGCAGAGTCTCGGAGGCCAAGAGAGTGGAGTTCTTTGAGGAGGAGGGGATGGTCAACAGTATCAAAAGCTGCAGAGAGGTCAAATAGTAAGAGTATGGAGTAGTGGCCATTGGTTTTAGCAGTTAGTAAATCATTAGTGAGCTTTAGTAGGGCAGGTTCAGTGGAGTGTAGTGAGCGAAAGCCAGACTGTAAAGGGTCAAGAAGGTTGTTGTCAGTGAGGTAGGAGCTCAAGCGATTGTAGACTTAGTGTTCTAAGAGTTTAGAGGTACTGTAAGGGACCGCCCGGCGGTACACTAGCACTCCACTGAATAGGCGTCCCCAGCGCACACGGAATCTAAGTCCCAGAGTGCTTGTTCACCAGGGCCCCTGATGGTGGCGATGGACTTTGAGCACCCCGAGACCAGGTCGTGGCTACTGGGTACGTCCGTCAGTGGTAGTGGTATGCGCCGAGGGCTCCCACGGGAAAGAGTCTGATATGAGGAAGTCTGAAGACCCCACTGCGAGGGATGGATGGTTGAGCAAGGTCAGACAGGCCGGGTCGGTAACAGAGAGGACGGTATGGTACAAGGCCGCGGGCAGAGAATAGTCGGGTCACACGCCAGGTCAGCAACAGCAGGTCAGATCCAATAGGGGACATCCAGGAGAGAGGTCAGACAAAGCAAGGGTCAGGACAGGAGAATATGGCAAGGTCAGGTACAATCCGGGTCAAAAACTCACAGGGCACAGGTTTGCAGAATCAGGAATGCAGGGAAGACCAGAAGGCACTGAATGACAGCTCAGGGCCGTTTAAATATCGCGCCCTGCGCTGCCATTGGTGCCCAGTGGGCGGCCGCGGCTTCTACTGTGCATGCGCGAACTCGAACGCCACGGCCGGCCCGGACCTAGTGCCTGCGTCCCTGCACAGGGCGGCGCACTGCGCCTGCGCCGGGACCATCACTGCGGGGATCGTGGAGATCCCTGACAGGTACACGGGAGCAGGGAGATGGGTCTTAAGTTGTTCAGGTTGGTGGGATCCAGGGAGGGCTTGTTAAGTATGGGAGTGATGTGTGCATGCTTTAGAGGGGTAGGGAAGGCATCGTTAGAGAGGGAGAGATTAAAGATGTGAGTGAGGGAGCATAGGAAGGAAGAAGAGGGTGACCGTAGTAGTTGTGAGGGGGACAGGATCCAGGGGGCAGGTAGTGAGACAGGCTTCTGAGAAAACCTTAGTGACCTCTTCAGTAGTAGCAAGGTCAAAAGAGGAAAGTGCTGAGGGAGGCTTAGTATAAGGTATGCTAAGTGGGATGGATGTCTGTGCAGTGGCGATGCCCCTACGAATTGCATGAATCGTGTTTTTGAAATGATTTGCAATCTCGTAAGCAGTGAGTGAGGTACTGGGTGGAGGTGGAGGTGGAGAAAGTAGAGAGTTAAAAGTAGAGAAGAGATGACGAGGACTGGATGACAAGCTATTGATGAGAGTGACAAAGTAGGCTTGTTTGGCAGCATGGAGGGAGGAATTGTGTCAGGAATCTAGGAATGACCAGAAAGGTGTGGACTGACACAGGGAAACGCAGGTCTCAGGTACAGTATAATACAGTTTATTATTAGCCACCCAGATATATATATATATATATATATATATATATATATATATATATATATATATATATATATATATATATATATATATATATATATAGTATATATATATATATATACACGCACAGTGAACAAAACCAACCTTCCAACGAAGCAGGAACACAGGCGTAGTCAGGGCTGGAGAGGTGGAACGGTCAGGCCGGCCGTAGGGTTCTGTAATGACCGTTTGGTGGGTACCTCTAGTGGTCCCCAGGACAGGATTCCCCAGGGCGGGAGTCTAAGTCCCAGTCTGCTTATTCACCAGGGCCCCTGATGGTGGGGATAAACTTGGAGCAGACAGGAACCAGGTCGCGGCCCCCCGAGTACACCTGCTAGTGGTAGAGGGGTCCGCCAGAGGTATGTGCAGGTACGGCTGGATCCGTGCAGGATGGATGGAAGGCAGAGTAGTTAGCGTGGTCAGACGGGCCAAGTCAGCAACGTGCGGACAGCAAGGTACCAAAAGGAGCAGGCAGAGAATGGTCAAAGTCACAAGCCGGGTTCAGTAACTCACGGACAGCGCGGGTACAGGGGATCAGGCAGAAGGATGGTCAGGCAAGCCAGGGGTTCAACAGGAGACGGTCAGCAGAGGTCAGAATCAAGCCGGGTCAGCAACGAGGCAGGAACACAGGATACCAGGTACAGAGGCTCATGGGAAAACATACACCAAGGCCCAGAGCAAGCAGGCTGGTCATGGCTTAAATACACCTTTCTGCAATCAGCCCCAGGTTTGCTGATTGCACGTGTGAGCTTCTGGCTGCTGAGAGCACCCGCTGGTCAGCTCTGGTACTGCAGCCCACACGGCAGGCGAGTCCCACCACCAGTGCTGAGTCCATTCCTGACAGTACCCCCCCCCCCCTCAAGGAGCGGCCTCAGGACACTCCAGACAGTCCTTAGTGGGCAAAGTCTTCCACCGCCCGGGTCAGGTAACTGGCTGAATATCCAACTGCCGGAGAAAACCGGCTGGCTGGGTTTCCTGCTGGTAGACTTCTTTTGTGTAGGAGAACCTAGGAAGGCAGGTCACTGGGCACAGGATTTCCAGGAGCAGGCTGGGAATCAGTTATTGGCCAGTTTAACTGGACATCAGGGGCTGGCATGTCGGGCTGTGCAACGGGCAGAGGCACGTCAGCGGGCACCGAGTCATCTGGCACGACAGCAGGGCACGTCAGCGGGCACCAAGCCATCTAGCAGAACCGCGGGCAGAGTCACCTGGCAAGTCAGCGGGCACCGAGCCATCTAGCAGAACCGGGCACAGAGTCACCTGGCAAGTCAGCGGGCACCGAGTCACCCGGGCATGTTAGCGGGCACCGAGCCATCTAGCAGAACCCGCGGGCACAGAGTCACCTGGCAAGTCAGCGGGCACCGAGTCACCAAGCTCGACAGCAGGCACCAAATTAACTGGCACAACAGTGGGCACTGAATCAACTGGCACGACAGCGGGCACCAAGTCATCAGGCAATGTGGCGGCTCAACAGCGGGCACTGGGTCCTCAGGCATCAAGTCATCCGGCTCAACAGCGGGCACCGAGTCAACTGGCACCGAGTCAACTGGCACGACAGCGGGGCACAGAGTCAACTGGCACGACAGCGGGCACAGAGTCAACTGGCACGACAGCGGGCACAGAGTCAACTGGCACGACAGCGGGCACAGAGTCAACTGGCACGACAGCGGGCACAGAGTCAACTGGCACGACAGCGGGCACAGAGTCAACTGGCACGACAGCGGGCACAGAGTCAACTGGCACGACAGCGGGCACAGAGTCAACTGGCACGACAGCGGGCACAGAGTCAACTGGCACCGAGTCAACTGGTTACAACAGCGGACACCAAGTCAACAGGCACAACAGCGGGCACCGAATCATCAGGCATCAAGTCATCTGGCTCGACAGCGGGCACCGAGTCAACTGGCACCGAGTCAACTGGTATGACAGCGGGCACCAAGTCAACTGGCACGACAGCGGGCACCAAGTCATCAGGCATCAAGTCATCTGGCTCGACAGTGGGCACAGAGTCAGCTGGCACCGAGTCAACTGGTATGACAGCAGGGCACCGAGTCAACTGGCACGGCAGTGGGCACCGAGTCAACTGGCACATCTGGCACAGCGGGCACCGAGTCAACTGGCACCGAGTCATCTGGCTCGACAGCGGGCACCGAGTCAACTGGCACGAGCGGGCACGACAACTGGCACGACAGCGGGCACCGAGTCAACTGGCACGACAGCGGGCACCGAGTCAACTGGCACGACAGCGGGCACCGAGTCAACTGGCACCGAGTCGACTGGCACGATGGTACAGCGAGTGGGAGCAGGGTACTGACATGTGGTAGATAGCAGGGTATACTGGGCTGTCACTGGGGGGGCTGTCGGGAATGCAGGAAAAGAGCTTTGAGCAGAGGAATGATGAGAAACAGGACTGGTTTGTTGCAAGCTGATTGAGGCTGGGTGTAACAAGTCTGACCATGTCTGCAGTAAGGGTTGGACAACGCTCAGCTTACACAAGGCCTGTCTGGTCAAAGATTGCACTGCGTTTATACACTTCTTTAGCACATGTGGTGAACATGCTGAATAATGCTCCAAGAAGCAATCCGGATCATCCTCCAACAACCATACCAGTGATATTATTTGACTCGCCCTGAATGGAGGAAGGAAGTCATTCCTGCTTTCAGGGGTACTAGATGAAGCCAACTCAACACAAGCCTGAATCAATGGTTGCACCTCAGAGAGCTCTAGGACCTGACCTACTAGGGAATGAGCGACCCGTATGCACTCTAGTAGCTGATCCCTGGTATACTCCCGCAGAGTCTGATAGGCATATTCTCTGTCATCAAAGACTAGCATAGACAAATATATAACCTCATCAGGATGCATCCTTCACAACAAGTCAAGATGGCTTCCCTGTGCAGCCACTTCTGGTCAGGAAAGGCCTTGGTGTGATGTCAGGAATCTAGGAATGACCAGAAAGGTGTGGACTGACACAGGGAAACGCAGGTCTCAGGTACAGTATAATACAGTTTATTATTAGCCACCCAGATATATATATATATATATATATATATATATATATATATATGCACAGTGAACAAACCAACCTTCCAACGAAGCAGGAACACAGGCGTAGTCAGGGCTGGAGAGGTGGAACGGTCAGGCCGGCCGTAGGGTTCTGTAATGACCGTTTGGTGGTACCTCTAGTGGTCCCCAGGACAGGATTCCCCAGGGCGCGGAGTCTAAGTCCCAGTCTGCTTATTCACCAGGGCCCCTGATGGTGGGGATGGACTTGGAGCAGACAGGAACCAGGTCGCGGCCCCTGAGTACACCTGCTAGTGGTAGAGGGGTCCGCCAGAGGTATGTGCAGGTACGGCTGGATCCGTGCAGGATGGATGGATGGCAGAGTAGTTAGCGTGGTCAGACGGGCCAAGTCAGCAACATGCGGACAGCAAGGTACCAAAAGGAGCAGGCAGAGAATGGTCAAGGTCACAAGCCAGGTTCAGTAACTCACGGACAGCGCGGTACAGGGGATCAGGCAGAAGGATGGTCAGGCAAGCCAGGGGTTCAACAGGAGACGGTCAGCAGAGGTCAGAATCAAGCCGGGTCAGCAACGAGGCAGGAACACAGGATACCAGGTACAGAGGCTCATGGGAAACCATACACCAAGGCCCAGAGCACAGGCTGGTCATGGCTTAAATACACCTTTCTGCAATCAGCCCCAGGTTTGCTGATTGCACGTGTGAGCTTCTGGCTGCTGAGAGCACCCGCTGGTCAGCTCTGGTACTGCAGCCCACACGGCAGGCGAGTCCCACCACCAGTGCTGAGTCCATTCCTGACAAATTGTATGTTAATAAAGCAGATTTATATAGGGTGAAAGCTTGGTACTGATCCCTACATTCTGTCATCACTGATAAGTACTGATCCCTACATTCTATCATTACTGATAAGTACCGATCCCTACATTCTGTCATCACTGATAAGTACTGTTCCCTACATTCTGCCATGATTGATAAGTACTGATCCCTACATTCTGTCATGATTGATAAGTACTGATCCCTACATTCTGTCATCACTGATAAGTACTAATCCTTATATTCTGTCATGATTGATAAGTATTGATCCCTACCTTCTGTCATGATTGATCAGTATTGATCCCTACATTCTGTCATTACCGATAAGGACTGATCCCTACATTCTGTCATGATTTATAAGTATTGATCCCTACATTCCGGCATTACTGATAAATACCGATCCCTACATTCTGTCACGATTGATAAGTACTGATCCCTACATTCTGTCATTACTGATAAGTACTGATACATTCTGTCATTATTCATAAGGACTGATCGCTACATTCTGTAATTTCTGATAAGTACTGATCCCTACATTCTGTAATTACTGATAAGGACTGATCCCTATATTCTGTTATTATTCATAAGGACTAAACGCTATATTCTGTTATTATTCATAAGGACTAATCCCTATATTCTTTCATGATTGATAACCACTGATCCCTACATTCTGTCATGATTGATAAGATCTAATCTTTCCCCTTCCTCTGTTTAAGGGGGAAGGGTAGAGATCAGCCACTATAAATCAGCGATTTTATACTGAATTCTTGCTAAGCTGCAGTCATTGATTGTAGGACTGCCGGTGTCCTAGCAAACAATGACATCAAGTATGTATCCTGCCCCCTGCAGTACACTTCCCCTCCCAGCTCCTGCCCCCAGCCTATGCAGCTACAGGGCCACATCAGTCAGGTGCACTGGGCTCCCTGATATAGGTAGACTCTGATGTATGGGTATTCTGATTCTCCAATCAGAATACCCATGATCCAAGGGGGAACTCTGAATGTTTGTAGTGCAGCCTGTGTGACCACCATGACTCCCTCCCAAGAAGTATGTTGTCTGCAGGGCTACCAAGTGAAAATAAAGAGGAAAGAAAAAACTGCAACTACCACATCTAAGAACTGATATGCTGCAATATCCACTTGCCAACCAGTCATGTACCTGGTAAGTGGTTGTAACGGGATGATGACGGCAGCTGCAGGCATCATCCCAGTACTGGTATTCACAGCCACAGTTGACTTTCTTGTAACTAACTAGCTGTCTAACTAGCCGCTTGATCACTATTACAAGCAGCGGGAGGGGATTTCCCCCCCTCCCCCCGCTGATTTAGCAGGATCAATCGTACCACTGGTAGTCCTAATCAACCGGCCAGCTGGATCAGCTTTCTTCGGCTCTATTAAAAGTTAAACTGGGAGTGTTGACCTAACATCACTACTGGTTTATTTTGAAAATAATCAACGCCATTTTTAAAAAATAAAAGCATTTGATGACACCAGGCTTGGTGTGATTGAATGCTTTTAAGGGCAGAGGAGGGATTTGGGGTATTATTGACCTCAGATCCCTCCATAAAGATTACCTATCACTGCCTATTGCTGTCGCTAGGGATGTTTACATTCTTTGTGACAGCAATAAAAGTGATCAAAACTTTTTTTTAGTTCTAAATGACAGTGTGAAAAACAAAAATTAAAGTGCCCCAACCCCCCCATCAGTCCCACAAGCATGCAAAGAACAACCGTCCTATACATGTAAGGTATCACCACAAACGTTAGATCATGGGCTGAAATTCTAGCATCAGACCTCCTGTGTAAATCTGAAGTGCTAACCTGTAAAGGCTTTTAAAGCTTTGCCTACGGATAGTAAAATTTACGTCATTTCTCACCGTTGCATGGGCGTAACATCAACTTTTATGTTTTACAAAAAAATTCAGGTTTTTTTGCATTAAAATTCAAAAAATGTTGGGGGGGTGGGAAGGCGGGGGGCAAGGCAGCTTGTTGTCAGAGCAATATTTGGCCCTGCAGTCAGTTGTTTTTTTACATGTTGTTTTCTATGCAAAATCAATAAATAGAAATGTAAAAACAAAAATTAAAAACGTGTATTATGCATTTGACAAACCGCTGTGCAAATACCATGTGACATACAAAATTGCAACACTCAGCAATTTATTCTCTAGGGCAGGGGTAGGCAACCTGCGGCTCTCTAGCTGTTGTGGAACTACATTTCCCATGATGCATTGCAAAGATTACAAAACTGACAGTTACAGCTATGACTTGCAGAGGCATGATGGAACTTGTAGTTCTGCAACAGCTGGAGAGCCGCAGGTTGCCTACCCCTGCTAGGGCCTCTGCAAACAAAAATGCCAGAAATCGCCTGGTCCTTAAAGTGGATATATTACATTTCAAATACTGCAGCTGGAATGTTTCTATTTAGATACTTCTATGGCTTTTACATGAAATCGCTATTTAGATGAAAAAAATAAATCAAATATTTTGTTTTGCAGAACCTGACTTTCGAATCAAGATGATTGTAAAAATTGTCATGCTGGTGGAAGGGAAATTGTAGGGGAGTCTAGTGAGGTTGAAGAATCTGAGAATTGCATGAAAGCCACTGACCGTTCCAGTCACTGCTTGAGCTTGCTGCTTAATAATCATGTAAGTCATCTACAAGAGCTTCTCAGTTATCTCAGTCATTGATCGGGTTCTTGGAATGTATGGTGTAGGGCAAATGGCTGCTGTTTCTATGCCCATGATTCCAAGCTGTTCATTTATTGGATGTGAACTCAAGTCTAGTTATCAGCTGGAGTGAACATTGACCATTGCTTGGTATATGTGTTAGTATAACCCAACCTTCCTCAACCTTTTCAAGACAGAGGAACCCTTGAAATAGCTTTCTGTTCTCAGGGATCCCCTACTAAAAAATTACTATATCTACAAATCCTGATACACTACTGTCATGGTCAGTGGGAATAATGCTCCTAACGCTTGTGGTCATTGGGAAGAATTACTCCCTTACAGATAGCTACAAAGATCAATGGTGTCAGTGAGAACTTATCTGAGAGGCAGAAATTGCTCAAGGAACCGCTAGCAACCTCTGGAGGAACCCTATTGTTCCATGGAAACCTAGTTGAGAAACCCTGGTGTAACCTATTCCTTTATAGATGTACGCTATATGGCCAAAAGTTGTGGACCCTTGACCATCATACCATCATAAATGGCCAAAATATTTGGACATCCCTCCAAATGGTTGAGTCCAGTTGTTTCCATTGAAGGGTACTGTTAATGTTAGCCACTTAAGCTCCGGAAGGTTTTACCCCCTTCATGACCAGGCCATTGTTTGCTATTCAGCACTGCACTACTTTAACTGGTAAATTGTGTGGTCATGCAACACTTTGCCTAAATCAAATTTATAGCAGTTTTTTTTTAACACAGAGGTTTTTTTTATGATATATAATCACTACTGGGGTTTTATTTTTTATTATATAAATGAAAAATGTTAAAATAAATGTTTTTCTCTGCTATCTAATAAAAAGTTTTTTAAAAAAGTCAAATTTCTTCATAAATTTAAGCCAAATATATTCTGCTACATGTCTTTGTTAAAAAAAAACAATTCCAATAAGCGTATATTAATTGGTTTGCTTGAAAGGTAGCATCTACAAACTATGGGCTAAATATTGGTATTATTTATTTATTTTATACTAGTAATGGCAGTGATCAATGATTGTCACAGATCCAACCCACACGCCCACAGCGACTAGCTAACCAAGGCGCGCACGTCTGGTCATGACTTGGGGTAAGAGGGAATAAGGGGGACTTAATCTGAATATATATACGTCTATAAGACCGGCCGTGATACACTTTCACAGCCCGCACTACCTCTGGCCACCACTAGAGGGCGACTCCACTCCAATCCAGCTGGCTGACCACACACACAGGCAGATACGAATCTTATATACAATCTGGTGCACAGTACAGGTTGAGGAGCAGCCTAGCATTTGGCACACCCTTCTTGGATTCCTCCAGCTATCCTACCAGCTAGAACCCCGTTGTTAATCACTCTTCCACTGTCCACACACCCTCACACCAGACACACAACAAACGGTAGCTTGCCACCACCCAACAGTTTTATCCGCAGACTGGCCTGCTGGGCCACCACACACACACAGATCTCTGTCTGGTAGATCTGATACCTTTACAATCTGCATGCAATCTGCCAACATGCAGTGCAATTGCATATAGATTGGCAATGAACTTGACCGAGCATATAAAGACACTGCAATACAATACAATCTCTACGGAGATATGAGCCCGAGCTTAAGTACCCAGAAGTCACTTATTAATTTTATGATTTAATATCCCGAAAGTGGGCAGTGCATATAAATATGTACAAAGTATAAAGAGTTACAAATAATACAGAAAATACAAGAAGACACACAATTGGCTATTGACTATAAAATAAAAGGGAATACAAAACAGATATAAAAACTTTTACCAAGAGTTATCCTGCGACTGGAGCAAGTCAGGGGAAAGTCCGCGATCCGCCAGTCAATAGAACTGGCTCCGTACGAATCACACCGTCCATATCCCAGGTCCTCAATTTATGAGAATATGGATGTAGGTGGGACATTAGCCCTTGGCCATTCAACTCTGGGGGGTGTTCCTGTACCAGCCCACA